ATTAAATTTATTGAATTAATGATAAAATACAAATGTTATAACTGTATCATCCCTTGAGCCAGACATCTCCTTGATAGCTAGTTCTCATTTAATTTAATTGTTTTGTTATTTTATCTTCATTAGTTAATAAAAGAAAATTCTCCTATTTTATTTACTGCAATAGAATACGAAAAAGTGAATCACACAATCCCTGTGGAGGCGATCCCTTCCCCTGTATTACATTAAATTGTGATCACGGAATAGGTGAAATATTTGATTGACCGCGCGACAGGTCGATGGTCTGGTTGGCTATGTAGACTTTGATTACGGAGGTGACTTGGTAAAACGAAGATCACTGACTTATTTTATCTCCACTCTGTTTGGATGTGCAGTCAGTTGAAAGACTACTTTACAACCTACGGTTGCAGTATCGACGACTGAGGCGGAATACATGTCAATGACTGAGTTTGGGTCTGAAGGTGGAGAAACTGGTGTTATTCTGTGATAGTCAGAGTGCTTTGAGTTTGGCTAAAAATCCAGTGTATCATGAGAGAACAAAGCATATTGATGTACGGTTGAATTTTATCTGTGATGTTCTAGAGGAAGACAGGTTTTCTATTAAGAAAATAGCTACAAAACACAATCCAGCTGATATGTTGACAAAGGCACTACCGACGGAGAAGTTCGAGCACTGCTTGAACTTGGTGAATATTCGCATGAGGTAAAGTTCTCTCGGGGCATTTGGCAGGAATGAGACGACTGAGAGATACTAACGAACCTTTGGCGGTTGGAGAAACTCCAAGTCAATGTGGAGATTGTTGAAACATGACTTAGATTTAACGGTTTACCCGACCCGAAACCAAAGTGAAAAGGTTGTTTCAATTGGTAGGGTTTCTTTTGGACTTATCATAATTAATAACAAATAGACTTAAGGTTTAGGGTGTTTTAGGGTGCTTATAAATAGATAGCTATGGTTAATTGTCGTATAACATGATTGTAACTCTCTGAATCAGTAGAATAAAATTTCTCCAGTTCCTGCTCGTGGACGTAGGTTGACACACCGTCACCAAACCACGTAAAACTTCTGTAATTTTTATTTGCTTTCTTTCTCATTTTCTCATAACAATAACAATTTTGCTATTTTTACCTAGCGGTTACTCCAACACCTTTTATATTTGCATGAAATAGCAAAAAAAATTCATAGTGATTTTTAGACTTTGTTGAAAATCGGTCTTAAAATTTCATAAAACTTACTGTTGATTTTCAAAATGGTATACACTCGCCTCTTTTTTCAAAATTGAACTAAGATGTTAATTTTTAACTTATTTGACCGTTGTAACCCTGGATGCATTTTACTTTTGACTAATTTTTATTTTATTTTTATCCTACATACATACATGCACACACATTCACATACTGCCCACTTACTCTCCTCCCTTTTTTTTTTTTTTTTTTTTTTCATTCTCATTTTTCACCTTTGTCTCTTCCTTTTTTAGACTTAAATATACATACATATTTTTCCTCTTTTCGCAATATTTTACAAATTACAAGTAAGTATTTTGAAATTTTAGAATTGAAATTTTCAGCAAATTGAGCGAACCATATGAGATTTTATTCTATTTTTCCATATTAATTTTTATATTATATTTATTATATTTAATGAAAGATATTACTCCCTCCGTCCCAGGAAGAAGTATCAATTTGTTTTTTGCACATAGTTTTAGAAATATTAATATTATATTAGGATATAGTAGGAATAAAGTAGAAATGACTAAAATAACCTTATTAGTATGTGTGATATAAAGATAATGACATTTGCGTAATATATTATAAGTTGTAAGGGTATTTGTAATGTTATGTAGATTGTACAGTTACTAAAAAAAAAGGAAATGGATACTTTGTTATGGGATGGAGTAAAATAAAAAAATGAATACTTTGTTGTGGGACGGATGAAATATATAATATTTTTATTTATATTTTACATAAATATTATCTAATAATATAAATTTTTAATTTATTTAATTTTATAAATACTATATTTATTATTTCGTATGATCATATAATAAAAAAAATCATAAATTAATATATTGATATAATATTTAAAATATTTTTATAAATCAAATATATAAAAATAATAAAATATTTGATATTATTTATAAATTTAAAAAATTATAAAACGTAATATAAAAATAAAATATTCTTACAAAAATAAAAAATTATGATGGGAGATGAAAATAGAGTGGGATTGAAGATGAGTTGTTGCATGAACTCCTGCAAAAAAAAATAGAGATAAAAAAAAATTATGGGTGAAGATGCTGTGTTTTTTCTGCGACAGATGAGTTATACTAAATTAATCATGTGTGAAAAGTGATGTGAAGGTCGGATGACTTCATAGTCACACGTCCAACTCCCAAGCCACCAGGATCCTTCCGGACTACAACTTGGTTGAATTGTAATTTTGTTAAAAAAATTGTTGATGTAATTTTTCAACAAAAATAAAGTAAAATTCAAAGATATAGAAAATATCCTTAAACTTGATTAATTAGTGCCTGAGATTAGGAATCTCTAAACACTGTACGGTACAGAAAATAAACTGGAAAATAAAAGACTGAAATTTAAAGTGGTGATCCCCAAATCTGACTTTGCTTTGTTGAAGTTGATTGAAGATGCCTTGCCAAATGATGATCCGAATCCTTAAATATTCTTTGAAGAAAACGTTCAGAACAGTCGCACTGTTTCACCAACCGTTCCCACCAGTTACAGAACTCAGAACTGCCTCTTTCATTGACACATGTCTTTAACCGCCTCGCCAACCGCATAACCCAACGACCGACCAACCGACCAATCTAGATACATAATTGGTCGCCAGATCAAAAGACTCACTGGTCGCCCCATCAAACGACCACTATTTGGTCTCTTCAATCGTCTGACCTATCAACAGACCTTTCTTCGCCCGACTTCCTTTTTCGACCGACCCCCATAGCAGCCAACCTTTGTATCAACCGACCCATTTATCCGACTGCGGATAATCCGACCTGCTTGCCCGACCGCGGACCATCTGACTTGCTTATCTGATTGAGAACCAACCGACTGAGAACCCACCGACTGACTCTGGATACATTATTATTATTATTATTATTATTATTATTATTATTATTATTATTATTATTATTATTATTATTATTATTTTTTGTGCGTAACAACATGCCTCCTCCTCAAGACTCCTAAGCATCATTTCTTATGATGTTTTAGGAGTTAGTAGGTTAGCATCCGAGGCTACGTCAGCCTCAGATCCGACCTCCATCCTTTGAGGCTACGTTGGACCCGACCTCCATTTATCGCGGACTGGTGCTGGCCTAGACGTTGGTCGATCTTGCACTACCATTGTATTCAGACTCCCGTCCGACTTATTCCTCCTTTCGGCCACTGTTGTTCTGTCATTCTTTTGCTCGCCTGAAAAGTTATGGTCGGCGACCTGACCCGTGTCCGTCCATTCGGCAGGGTCCTCCTGACCTGTATCCGTCCATTCGGCGGGGTCCTCCTGACCTGTATCCGTCCAGGTTACGTAGTCCTCCCGATTTTTGTCCGTCCAGTCGACGTGGTCTTCCCGATCTGTATTCGTCCAGTCGGCGTGGTCCTCCCGACCTTTGTCCATCCAGTCGGTGTGGTTGTCCCGACTACGGTCCGTCCATTCGGTGTGGTCCTCCCGACCATGGTCCGTCCAGTCGGTGTGGTCTTCCCGACCATGGTCCGTCCAGGCGTCGTGATCCTGCCGACCTGTCTCCGTCCATTCGGTCGTCCCTGGTCGGGCCTGTCCTCCTGTTTGGTCCTGTCTCCAGTCTGTCTGACTGGGTATATGCTCAGGAATGGCGTTGTCCGTTTGGGGGCATGACATTTCTGGCGGTGCAGGAACCGAATTCAACATGAATTTTGATTGCTCCATCAAGTTTTGCATTGTGTCATGTATTGCCTGCAGATTTGCTATCTGCTGGTCGTACATTTGCCGAAAACCTGCTGTAAAACCTGCTGTCAATTCGGCCCGTAGTTGGGAAGCTTCTTCTGCCGTGATAAAGCCAACGGCTGTACTGTGGAATTGAAAATTTGCCATATGGATCAGCAATTTTCTCCCACTGTGGTCGCCAATTTGTTGATGTAATTTTTCAACAAAAATAAAGTAAAATTCAAAGATATAGAAAATATCCTTAAACTTGATTAATTAGTGCCTGAGATTAGGAATCTCTAAACACTGTACGGTACAGAAAATAAACTGGAAAATAAAAGACTGAAATTTAAAGTGGTGATCCCCAAATCTGACTTTGCTTTGTTGAAGTTGATTGAAGATGCCTTGCCAAATGATGATCCGAATCCTTAAATATTCTTTGAAGAAAACGTTCAGAACAGTCGCACTGTTTCACCAACCGTTCCCACCAGTTACAGAACTCAGAACTGCCTCTTTCATTGACACATGTCTTTAACCGCCTCGCCAACCGCATAACCCAACGACCGACCAACCGACCAATCTAGATACATAATTGGTCGCCAGATCAAAAGACTCACTGGTCGCCCCATCAAACGACCACTATTTGGTCTCTTCAATCGTCTGACCTATCAACAGACCTTTCTTCGCCCGACTTCCTTTTTCGACCGACCCCCATAGCAGCCAACCTTTGTATCAACCGACCCATTTATCCGACTGCGGATAATCCGACCTGCTTGCCCGACCGCGGACCATCTGACTTGCTTATCTGATTGAGAACCAACCGACTGAGAACCCACCGACTGACTCTGGATACATTATTATTATTATTATTATTATTATTATTATTATTATTATTATTTGTGCGTAACAAAAATAAAATATGTATTATAGATATAGGTAAATACCATACCTAAAAAATTAGAGATGGTATCATAGGGCATGATACTTTCTGTATATAAAAAATTGTGACAATAGGTTGGATATGACAGAAGTCGAGACCCAAGCAGGTCTAATGATAACATAGCAGTGTCTAGCAGGCGGCGGTGGCGGCGGCGGCGGCGAGGAGAAAAAACTAGAGGAAAGGAGAAGAAGGAAAGAGCAATTAAATTCATATTAAATTCGTTCTAAATAACTAAGGAAGGAGAAATTTAAGTGAAAATTGATTAATTCATATTTTAATCAACCAAATTAAACGCAGATAAAAACCGCTAGGGCCATCGTTGCGGCGTCCAGCAAAGAAATCCGATGGCAGGAACGGGTTCAAGATGGTCGCTTTCCGGATGCACTGCTCTCGTTACCGGTGGGACTCGTGGCATCGGACATGCGATTGTGGAAGAGCTCGCTGAATTGGGTGCAAATGTCTACACTTGTTCGAGGAACGCGGAGGAGCTCAACCAGCGGCTACAGGAATGGACTTCCAAGGGCTACACAGTCACTGGCTCCGTCTGCGACGCCTCTTCCAGAGACCAAAGGGAAAAGCTCATCGAAAGCGCATCCTCTGCTTTCGATGGCAAGCTCAATATCCTTGTAAGTAATCTTTGATGCAAAAATTAATTTTCTAAATACCAAATCATTTGGAATTGGGGATACACTAAATTGTTGTTAATTATTACAAGGATGTTTAATCTGATTTTGAAATTTCTGCCTTACTAGCCTCTATTGTGTTTTTATCCATGGCAATTGCCTGACTGATCTGAGCCATTCAGAAGATAGATAGATAGATAGGTAAATAGATATCATGTTGAGTGCATTTGGCAATGAATGACATGAGCAAATGTTTCTTTGTAGATAAATAATGTTGGGACTAATATCAGGAAGCGAACTGTCGATTACACTGCTGAAGAATATTCGATGCTGATGGCTACAAACTTAGAATCCTCCTACAATTTATGCCAACTTGCTCATCCTCTTCTTAAAGCTGCTGGGACCGGCAGCGTCGTATTTATTTCCTCTGTTGCTGGTCTTGTGCATTTGTTTTCGGGATCTATATATGGAGCCACTAAAGGTATTAGCTGAGCGGGATCCTTTCAATGGATGATTTTATGAAATGTTTCTAAGCATATAGTAATTGCATTTACATGTAAATTATGATCGGTTCATATGTTTGTGATAATTGTTGACCATATTATAATTCTTGTTTGATTTCTATGTTTCTTTCTGTATCGCATCTCTATAAATTAAATGCTCTATTATTCTGTTCAATGTGAAAGACATAGTTTAGCAATGCCCTCGATTTTTCCCATGTTATCCAATGGCTTTATTCCTTGTAGTTCTAGAACGTTCTTAGATGTTTTATAGCCGTGTGCAATCAATTTGTGGAATTTTCTATTCTATTCAACAACTTTTATAGTATGGTCAATCTCATTCTGCATTAGTGTTGCGAGTCTGTTGTTTATGTTCAATATGTGTTTGGAAATATAACTAGTTGAACTTGGGTACCAATATATGATTTGCTACCATGTTTTTCTTTATATCAAACTATAATTTCAGTAGTTAGATATTGTGATTATAGATAATTGTGGTAGAATTCTGTTTTAATCATTGCGTTTTTATTGGATAATTTTACTGCTTCCTATCTTGTTCAATGGGAAGAAAACACCCATTAGTTTCTAACAAACAAGATGCATGTCTGTTAACTTTTGTCCTTACAGGGGCACTGAACCAGCTCACAAAAAATTTAGCTTGTGAGTGGGCAAAGGATAACATTCGGGTGAACTGTGTCGCTCCTTGGTACATCCGAACATCCCTTGTGAAACCTGTAAGTGTTCTTATTCTTTCATTACCATAAATTCCTTTCATTTGTAATGTTCATTTTGAAATCACTATATTTTTACTTTCATAGCTAACTTTCTACAATTTTCTTCTATGCAAATATAACTCATGCTACCTTGTCTCTTACGTAGCATAACAATGTTTTTGGTAACTATGGAGGATTCATAGAGTGTAATAGATTATAGCTACAAAAATTAGGAAGCCGAGAACAAAAACCACAAACCTGAAGCATAACCAGAAGATCCAAAACAGACTGAATTAGATTTATAGTGGTGTGTAAGCATTCTCAAGATAAGCAGCCTTATAACCAAGCAATAAAATCCTCTCCATCTGTAGCTCTTCTCTCGGCATATAGTTTAGGAGTTTTGATAATAGTAAAAATATTAATTTGAGTAGTTGTTTGATGTGATGTTTTGAACGTAAAATTGATTTTTAATGTAATATAAAAAATAAGTATTTGATTTGTGTTTTGAAGAAATTCTTTTTTGTGAATAATAGAAATAAAAACAAATCATCCAAACAACACACCCTAATGTTCCCTTAGCAAGTTAATGATATTAAGAGAGTTTCCTACTGCAAGTTTCTTTTGCTTCATTTCAATCCAAATAACTCATCTGTGAAGCACAAACTTCTCCCTAAATGGCCTGGTTGAATTATGGTGATTATGTACTACATATCTATTGATTAATGTTGATATATGTTATAGATAGATCTTTTGGATAATATTATTTAAATTTGGTAGTTATTATTTAGGCATATCTACTATATTAGATTGTTAATATTTATACATATCTACTAGATTAGGTTGTTATTATTCAAAATCTAATCACCTAACAAAACTTTAAGCTTGTTTAATGTTTAATTTGATCCCAGTTGCTGGAGAATGAAGAGTTCTTGAATAGTGTAATATCTAAAACTCCACTCAAACGTCCCGGAGAACCACAAGAAGTCTCCTCCTTGGTCGCTTTCCTTTGCCTTCCCGCAGCGTCTTATATCACAGGTCAAGTTATATCCGTTGATGGAGGAATGACCGTGAATGGTTTCTCGTTCCCTTGACAATAATTAGTATGTTTGTTCGTTTTAGAAGTATTTTTGTGATGTATTTTGCATATTTCTGGTTTCAAAATAAAAATGACTTGAGTTGTGAACACAGTCGACTATATATAAATCTCATGTTTTAAAACAATAATGAAATGCTTTAATAATGGCGACGGTTAGGAGTTTGGACAGGACATGATATAATTTTTACAACATAATGTTGCGTTACAATACATATAAACATACACTCTGTCTTTATTATATATGTTGATGGGAACCCAGTCAGCAATGGCGGAGCCACATAGAGGATCGGGGGTTCTGAGCCGTCGTCACCGCCGTTATGTTCGTCACCGCCGTGGAAGATTAAGAAACAAAGGCAGTGGAGGCCATGGCAAATAACAAGTGTCAAGAACTTGAATGTTAGAAATTTTGGAAGAAAATAATAAAATTGTCTTATTAATCATCAAAATAAAGGGCTTATATATAGGTAATACAAAATAGAATCGATAAATTCGAATCTACATAGTATAATATATAAATAAGACCAAATCTAAATATAAATATACTAAATCTAAAATCAAATATTTAAAATATCTCAACATTCTCCTTCAAACTCAAGTGTGTGATGTAGAAACCAACTTGAGTTTGTCCATGAGCAATCGGAAGCGGCTGGGAATAAGTGATTTGGTGAAAATATATGTTGTGTGATCTGCGGAGGAGACTGAAACGAGATGGACAGCACCACCAACGACATGCTGTCGAATAAAGTGACAGTCAAGCTCAATATGCTCGGTGTGCTCATGGAAGGTATCATTGTGGGTCATTTTCATAGCACTCTGACTGTCGCAGTGAAGAGCCGTAGAAGATGACTGAGGAACACCAAGATCAGTGAGTAATCAGCAAAACCATAGAAGTTCTGACGTAGAGTTAGCAAGGGCACGATATTCCGACTCGGCACTCGATCGAGAAACTAAAGTCTGCTTCTTGCTGCACCAAGAGACGAAAGAATCACCCAGGAAGAAGAAGAAGAAACTAGTGGTCGAACGACGATCAGTAGGATCACCAGCCCAATCAACATTAGAGTAACCGCTAAGAGTCAAAGACGAGTGAGAGGAAAAGTGTAAACCATGCAGGAGAGTACCTTTCACATATCGAAGAATATGTAAGACGGCAAAGTTGTGAGAGATCCTAGAAGCGGCCATGAACTGACTCACAATATGAACTGCATGAGCGATTTCTGGTTGAGTGACAGTTAAGTAGATCAAGCTCCCAACAAGTTGACGATAGAGGGTAGGGTCATCAAGATGAGAGCCATCAGGAGGAGTAAGTCGAATGTCGTAGACAAGTGGTGTAGAGGCTACCTAACAGTCTGTGAGACCAGCTCGAGCAAGGAGATTGGAGGTATACTTAGCTTGAGAGAGAAAGAGACTATCGGGAGAATCAGAGACTTCAAGTCCCAAGAAGTAACAAAGGGGACTCAAGCTCTTCATCTCAAAATACTGGCTAAGATATGCTTATAGATCAGAAATACCAGACACATCATCTTATGTGATAATCATATCATCAACATAAAACAAGAGTACAACTATCTCAGATAAAGAATGATGAAGAAATAGGCCAGAGTTCTAAGTGCACGAGGTAAAACCAAACTCCAATAGTGCAACACTAAATGTGGCATACCAAACCCGAGGGGCCTGCTTCAACTCATATAAAGTGCGACGTAAGCGACAAACCTTTTCAAATAATGAGAAACCTGGAGGGGGAGTCATATAAATTTCTTCAGAAAGTGAGTAATGTAAAAATGCATTCTTGACATCTAACTGAACAAGAGACCACTGACGAGCAGCAACAATGGCAAAAAGACAATGAACAGTAGTTAGACGAGCAACGGGAGCAAAAGTCTCCTCATAGTCAACTCCATACTCTTGGGAATAACCTTTGGCCACCAAAGGAGCCTTGTAGCACTCAATGGAACCATCGAGATTAGTCTTGATTTTGAAAACTCACTTGCACCAAATAAGTGTCTTGCCAGAAGGAAAATCCAATAAATCCCAAGTGTGTGTGTTTGCCAGAGCCTTTAATTCATCAGTCATAGTTTACTGCCATAATGAATCAACACTCGCCTCATGAAATGACCTAGGCTCATGATGAGATAATATGACAAAGTAACAATGATAATCACGGAAGTGAGGAGGAAGGTGGCTCACTCTATGTGATCGATGAGGTATGACAGGTTCATGGACCGCAAACAAATAAGAAATAACAGTTACTTGTCTGCCGTTGCCGCCACCGCTCTACCGTGTCAAAGCTTGAAACAATGCTCTCAACTGAATTAGAGTCGAAAATAATAGAATTCAGAACGGATTCGAAAATAACATGACTTTCTACTGGAGCCGAAAATGATATGACTCTCTACTGGAGCCGAACTCTCTACTAGAGCCGAAAATAACGGGAGTACTCTCCATAAAGTAAAAAATAATTATTTGAATATAAAATCAAATATTTTATTAACTTAAATTATTTGAAGTATGTTCATTTGTATTTTTACTTATTTTTATTTTAGTGATAAACTAATTATTTAATACTATAATATTCTAAATAAAAAATAAAGGCTTTGTTTGTTAAAAACTTTTTTCAGATACGAATTCTCAATGTATATGTTATTATCGAAGTATAACCGGATCTAAAGTTTTATTAACGAAATCGAGTAAAAATAAAAGTATTGAACTAGTTTTGCTTAGGCTTAGCCCCTAATCAACTCGAACCGAACATCAACACACAAACAAAACATCCAACTAGCGACTACACATTTGAAATCGGCCCGAAACTTACACGACTCACACAAATCGAACTCCTCAATAACATACAAGGCGAAACAGAACAAATACAAATGTCTAAAGGTTGAACGAGCCCTTTGCGGCTACGAACAACAAAACAGGGGGTTTAAAAACGCGCCACAGGAACTCCATAAATTATAGGAGGAAGGCGCCGCCGAGAACCGCCAGAAAAAGTCACCGGAGAGGATGAATAGGGAGGTCGAGGGAGAGAGAGGCTAGAGAGTGGGTGAGTTAGAGCGAGAGAGTGCGAGAGCGAAATGAGAGCTGCACCCTCTCTCTCTCCTCTTTATATAGGTAGGATCAAAAGGAATGGACGGCCAAGATCAAAGACCTGAATAGTCTAGATCGCGTCTAGTAAAGGGATGTGGATCCTAAGCGGGTCACGGGCGCGGGTCAGGTAAGTGGGTACGGGTTGCAGCCAAGAGTGTGTAAGCGGTTCAAGCTAAGCGGGTCACGGGCGCGGGTCGGTGGGTGTGGGTCGCGGCCAGGGCCAAGGTACAAGTGAGCTGCATAATTAAGGTGTGTGTCTTATTTTTGGGTGGATCTAATTGGACCAAAAAATCCAACAAATCCTCCACCTGATTTTTTTGTTCAAGAGACTGGGGTACATCATCGGCCATATATTTACCTCCACAAAAAAAAAAAAAAAACCAAATATTAGTAAAAAAATATTAACTTAGCCTATCTACTGCTCTAAGTAGTACAAGACTAATCAAATATATCACAATGTATGTATTTCATACAAAATACAAACTTGTTTGCAGGCAAAAATTTAGTACCTATATCAGATGGGTTATACCCACCGACCCGCGCCCGTGAATAGTCCAGATCGCGTCTAGTAAAGGGATGTGGATCCTAAGCGGGTCACGGGCGCGGGTCAGGTAAGTGGGTACGGGTTGCAGCCAAGAGTGTGTAAGCGGTTCAAGCTAAGCGGGTCACGGGCGCGAGTCGGTGGGTGTGGGTCGCGGCCAGGGCCAAGGTACAAGTGAGCTGCATAATTAAGGTGTGTGTCTTATTTTGGGGTGGATCTAATTGGACCAAAAAATCCAACAAATCCTCCACCTGATTTTTTTGTTCAAGAGACTGTGGTACATCATCGGCCATATATTTACCTCCACAAAAACAAAAAAAAAAAACAAAAAAACCAAATGTTAGTAAAAAAATATTAACTTAGCCTATCTACTGCTCTAAGTAGTACAAGACTAATCAAATATATCACAATGTATGTATTTCATACAAAATACAAACTTGTTTGCAGGCAAAAATTTAGTACCCATATCAGATGGGTTATACTTAGAAGGAATCTTTTCTAACTTTAATATTCCTTTAGATATAATATCATGTATGAAATGAAAACACACGTTAATATGTTTGGTTCTATCATGAAATACAAAGTTTTTACATAATTGGATTCCCGATTGACTATCCGAAAAAACAGTAACAACATGTTGTAACTAACCTAATTCACTGGTTAATCCTTTTAACCATAATGCTTCTTTTAAAGCTTCAGTTATTGCAATATATTCAGATTCTATTGTGGATAGAGCTACAATGTGTTGCAATTGAGATTTCCAACTAATACAAGTTTCACACAAAGTAAAAACATAGGAATTTGTACTTTTCCTACTATCTCTATCATTTGGATAATTCGAATCCACAAAACCCTCTAATTTAACATTTTCAGTATGTTTTCCAAACACAAGACCAACATTTATTGTACCAACTATGTATCTAAAAACTCATTTCAATGCATGACAATGTTTTAAACCAGGATTCGACATATACCTACTTAAACAACTAATAACAAAAGCTAAATCTGGCCTAGTGCTAATCATTAAGTACATTATGGAATCTATAGCATTAGAATATGATACATGTTTCATATAATCAAAATCAGATTCCGACTTGGGACATTGATCCCTACTTAACACAAAATTAGAAGCCATAGAAACAAAAACAGATTTAGCATCACTCATAGAGAACTTCTTAAGAATTTTAGTAATATAAGCAGACTGATTCAAAAAAAGTCTCAAATTCTTTCTATCCCTAGTAATACACATACCTAAAATTATTTTGACATCACCCAACAGTTCATGTCAAAATTATCACATAAACACTTAGTCACGTGATCAATAAGCTTTAAATATGGACTAATAATCAACGTATCATCAACATAAATGAAAAGAAAAACATGTTGGTTTTTAACAGTCTTAAAATACAAACATTAATCAATTTTTTTTAATAAAATCAAGATTTTTCATACAATTATCAAATTTGATATTCTATTGTTTAGGTGACTGTTTTTAAACCATATAATGACTTATTCAACAAACAAA